GGGCGTGGGGGCGCCGGGCGCGGTGGGGGAACAATCTGGCCGACGTGGTGGCTCCCGCCCCCTGGGGAGCTGAGGCGGGGGCGCCGGCGGCGGGCCGGAGGTTGCAGCCCATCGGGGCGGGGGAGCTAAGAGGCCTCAGCCAGGCGCAGCTGGTGGAGCTGGTGCAGTGGAGCGACTTGATTCTCTTCGACTATCTCACGGCCAACTTCGACCGGCTGGTCAGCAACCTGTTTAGCCTGCAGTGGGACCCGCGCGTCATGCATCGGGCCACCAGCAACCTGCACCGGGCCCCCAACGGAGGATTGGTTTTCCTCGACAACGAGGCCGGCCTGGTGCACGGCTACCGGCTGCTGGCCATGTGGGACAAGTACAACGAGCCTTTGCTGCGCTCCGTCTGCGTCTTCCGCGAGGCCACCGCCCAGCGAGTGCGGGAGTTGCACCGCCTGCGCAACGCGGCGTCGGAGCTCCTCAGGCTCTACCGGACTCGGGAGCCCCTGGCCGAGATTCTCGGCTTCCTCTCCGACCAGCAAGCGCAGATGCTCCAGGAGCGTATCGACCTTGTCCATAAGCACATATTGCACTGCAAAGCCAAGGCCGCCGCTCCGTGATCCTCTTGGGCTGGCTAAACTGCCTGGATTTATGGGACTCAGAAGAGATCCGAGAAGGGAGCCTGAAGGGGGTCCTTCCCCCTATTAAAAGCCCTGTTGATCAATATCCCTAAAGGAAATCAACGCTGGAACCCACTTGGGGGTTGACAGGAGCGGCTGGGTACAGAATGTTACTGAGATTTCACAGAGGAATATGGCAAACCCAGCTAAAAAAGAACATGATTCAGAGTTTTTTTGTGATGAGTGAATAGCTGATAGCAGAACTAGTTCTTGGCTCTCAGACACTTTGTTCCTGGAATCTGTCTACAGAATGTGGTCCTTCTTTATCTGACACTCCTAGTGTAAGTTCCCAGTTCCTGAAGAAAAAGCGCCTTGCTGCCAGTTTAGCTCGGTATCAACAGTGACAGCTGGGGGGGGGGGGCTTGGATATTTGGAGGGATGCACCCACATAGCCTTCTGCACCCTGGGGACATCCTAGATGTATTGAACTACAACTTGCATCATGCCCCAGCTGGCATGTTGGCTGAAGATGATAGGAGTTGTAATCCTACTCAACTGGAGGATGCCATATTAAAGCTGGATTAAAATGTCATAATTAACATCTCCCCCTGGTTTGCCAGTATTAAATGTAACAATGACCCTGCTACACCTGATCTGCACTACTACCTGTTACAAAAAAGGCCAAAAATATCTTCCTAGTCTGCAGTTTTTGTCAGAATTGCTGTGAAGATGCTGAGAGTAGCTGGGAGTTAAAAGGATTGCTGAGTTTAAGAGATGATTCATCCCTTGGATATAATCTATACATAAAAATTAGCTTTCTCTGTCCAGTGTGCCATTTCCCTTACTGGATGTTAAGAGCTTCTCTTAACAATTCAAGTTAAAAGATTCTGTACAAAAGCTATTGCCAGAGTTTGAATGGACCACCTCCCTTGTCCTTCCAGCGGGCATTAAGAGGTACATGCGTTTCTTTGTCACACCCTTTTTTAAAAAAGAAAACACATCACACTGTTAATTTAATATTTAGATACTGTAGCCCCACTTACAGAACTGCTTTTTCTAGTGAATCTCCGGCCAGCATGGACAGTGACAAAGTCCACAATAAGTGTGCAGAAAAGTCACTGTTGTTAACACCTTTTATCCCTTAATGGTGAGAAGCATTTGGCAAAACACTGTGGTTCCACAGCATTTATATGTAACCCACTACTGTACAGTAAAAGGGGGGGGGGAATTACAGGTTTATAGTATTGTTAGTGTAGTAAATTTTTGATGCATTAATTTGGAGGAGGAAAAAATCAGTTTCTTGCACTTTACTTTCTTTTATATATACATATATATAAAAATCTTGTTATTTAAAAAAAAGTCTGCATTTGAGGTACATGATGTATGTTCTTAAGCCCTTCTGTAACATACTAAAGAACTGGATATTTCAGTAAAGATGTGGTAATGTTTTGCCTCTTTTGTATTCAGGTTTTGGATTTCATTGTTCTATGAAGTAATCACTAGGTTTTTTTCCTTCTTTCTCCATAATTTGAATGGATATTTTTCTTTCTTCAGCCCAACAGAGTTAGTGATAGAATTATTCCACTCAGTAGGGAGATGAATCTGGCATATAAACTTAATTTTTGTACATGGACTTTCTGCATTAGCTTATTCAAAATCAGATAATCACCATAGGCTATATAACATATGCACCTTGTAGATTTTACTGGGCTGTATAAGTGTCCTTCCACATATTCCCAAGAAAATAATTATTCTGGCTTGATTTGATTTTATCAGTTCAAATTTCAGTGCAGACTACTCTTGACTGTTTCTCTCACTGGTCTAAAAACCTTCCTTCAGAAATATCAAAACTCAGAATACTTTTATGAGCATTTTCAACAGCTGTTAATTTCTTTTCCATTTTGGTTTCTGGCAAACCAAAATGAAAAACCCTAAGTTGCTGTCTCTGCCAAGAATAATTTAGGACTTCATTTTAGCTCAGCTTCTTTTTTGACTGTGGTAGTAGTGTGTACAGAGGTTGAAATTAAATGTATCATGGCTTTTGCTAAGGTTCAGTGCTTCAGTCCAGCAAAGGAGATTTATGAATGGAATCTTTTTTATGACAGTCCTCTGAGTTTCAGTGAATTAGCTGATGGCATTTCTTAGAAATCTTTGAGTATGCATAGGCTGGTGTGGACTGTTAACTTATGCTATGTGTCAGAAACACTATTGGGGCTCACATCTTTTGACAGCTTTGAAGACCCAGTTCTGTACAAGAGGAAGCAGAGGGGGAAAGAAAAAGTTTTAATTCCCCACCAACTTTAGGTGCTTACCAGATTGAATGTAATCCTTATCACATCTAGTGCATATATACTGTTAGAGATAGAGGCAGAAAGAATTCTGTAACAAGGTAGGAAAAGTATGTAGAACATGGGTTCTGGAATTCTTTCTAGTCACTTACCTGCAGTGGCCATAGTTGGTGTGTGTATTTTTGTCTGTGTAATGGTACCATGTAGGGAGTATAAAAGCATTTCTGTTGTCCCCTTGTATGGCATTTATGTGTGACTGTACGTATGTGTACCCTGGGAAGCACAAGGCAGGCTGTGTATATGCTGTGCTAGGTCATGTGATTAGGAGAGATGTGAGCCAGAAAAAATTCTGGTGTCAACATTTTCTGCAGGGAAAAAAAAAATCACTGGGGATGGTTTTAAGAAATTGGGAAGCAGGAATTTCATCATTTCCCCTCCCCAACATCAAATATTGTAGCCTAAATATTTGTGCAGCCTATGGATATTGGGATGAATATGTTAGTTGGAACCATACTCATTTGTATAGGAAACTTCTGGAATTATTTCCCAATTCAAGTTTTTTCTCTGTTGACCAAGAATTGAAGAGCAGAGAACTTAGAATGGAATGATCAGCAACATTCTGAGTCAGTACCTCTCCTATAGGGGTGCGCTGATTGAACTGAGTGATATTGTTTTCTGGAATGTTTTTCTCTGAAGCCCCCAGCCAGATCATATCCATTTTCAAACTTGACTTTCTTTTGCCAGCTTTTTCCTCTATACCAAATGTGCTGCCGTTCTGCTCCATTTTCAGAGAGTTAATCCTGCTGACTGAATGACAGAATCCTGAGCTGCTTTACATAATTTCTGAGTAATATTTCATTGGGTTGGAAAGAATAAAAAGGCTTCTACAGCTTCTAGTAAATTGCACCCTTTCAGAAACCAGTTTTTCAGCGGTGGGATCTGTTTGAACCCTTGTTTTTCCTCTATACCAAATGTGCTGCCGTTCTGCTCCATTTTCAGAGAGTTAATCCTGCTGACTGAATGACAGAATCCTGAGCTGCTTTACATAATTTCTGAGTAATATTTCATTGGGTTGGAAAGAATAAAAAGGCTTCTACAGCTTCTAGTAAATTGCACCCTTTCAGAAACCAGTTTTTCAGCGGTGGGATCTGTTTGAACCCTTGTGATCATAATTCTCTCAGAGTTCAAGAACATGATCTGCATACCAGATCTGAACTGCAAAATTCTGGACAATAACTAGGTGGTGGCAAAGAGTTAAGAGTTTCGTGGGTCTCTTTTCTGCTATTCTCATAGAAATCCATATTTTTGCAGCCCAGCTATGGTAACCTTAGTTAGATACTGGACCTTTAAATGTTTAACCAAGTATTATTCTCACACCTCACAACTGCCCTAGAAGGCTCTTTCACTCCACTGCTTCAATTGACAAGGTTCTTTATTTAACTCTTATTTATAGCTCACAGCTTTTTATCACTCAGCACAAAGCACAGGCTCCCATGTGGCTTCTTTTGCCATTTACATGATAATATAGAATTTAACTGTGTAATTTTTTGAGCGTGTATGTCAGCATGAGTTTTGTAGCTCGCTCAGATGTGGTGCTTCAGATGCATTCACCTAATGAAAATACATTTAAAATAATATAGCAGCAGCATAAATTTAAAACCATCTGTAAAGGTAAATGGTAGTGCTGCAAACATCCTAAGATTTCTGCTTAAGCATTCTGGAAATCACAGCTGGATCACCGCTTTGGCTGCTTAACAGATGATACATCTTTCTTGCCATAGTGTCAAAGCTAAGTCTCAGATAATTGCACCTTTCCAAAAGAATCATGGGCTTCTGCTTTGATGATCAGTGGCTATTTCAAATGATACACCAGCAGTAGATTCAGAAATGAGGGGCTACTTGGAAAGCAGAGAAGAAAGAGGGAGAAAGTTGCAAGTTGTGGAAAAAATGGTTTCATAAGGGTTGGGGTATGGATTCCAAGATTGTATTGCAGCCAGAAGTATGACTGGCTTACTTCAGACATCATGTTAAAATACTGCTTTGAACCATGAGTTATTGAATAAGAAATAGTACCCTAGTATACTCATAACATGAAGCTATAAATCATTTACAACCATGGTGGCCTACTAAGCCAGAACCTTAATAACATGGAGTGATATGCATTTTGTCCCCTTCTGTTCCTGTTCTCTCTGTTGGTCCCATTTGGTTTGATCTTTGCTTAATGTTTCATTTAGCCTTAATTGCTCTTTCAGTTGAAACCTGGGTCTTGGTGTGGTGTATTTGTGTTCTGTCATCAGATTTCAGTGGGACTCTCACATATCTGAATATTCCTGCGTCCCCAAATTATCTCTGGTTAGAAATCTAGAGGGGAAAAATGGTTCTAGCCTAATGTTCTATATCACTGCAGGTCTGAGTAAACTGTCTGCTCTTGGCTTGGTTCCTCTGATTTCACAGCCTAAGATACTCTAAGGTTACTAATGAGCTTAGTTTATACAGTTTCAAGCTCAGAGAACAACTTGAACAATAGAAGTGTTGCTTCCTGGACAAAGGCTTTCCAGAGACTTAGCGACAATGGGCACAATTGAATCAACTGTTTTCAGCAGCTTTTAGGGAATAGGCATGTAACATAGGACAGGTAGGATTAGCCTTGCTATCTTTGAATCTATCTTGACACTGAATTAGAAACACTCTTAGTTCTGCAAAGGCCAAAATAACAAGTTTTAAACAAGAGTTGCGCTGCATTCTGATTACTTTTATAAGACTAGATCCTAGTTAGTTGTTGCTGTCGTTTCCCAAAATTATTCAGTAGCAGAAAGGCAAAAATGAAACATCACATTTGGGATTAGATTCATTAATAGTCTTATGGTTAAAACTGTATGGAAATGCATCCTGAATCAGTTGGTGAAATTAACAGTATCACAAATTGTATTGCCATGTTTAAAATGGGCTTTTGGAATGCTGCAGAAAAATGCCATACATTTTCTGCATAATATTTCTGTTCATTCCAGGGATCCTATGTCTCTTAAGAGAGAAATCCTTGAATAGCTATCAAGTTAAGGAACACTTTTTTGTTTATTTCATTAAAACTAAATACGTTAAAATAATTCTTTGTTGGCTACATTTCTTGTATTCCAACTCCTTTTTTATACCATTTTAACCCAAACCAAAAAAGCAAGTGGCTTCATTTTAGCAAAGTCAATAATTACAGTATACAGTATATCAGGTACAGGAATTTTTACCTTTTTTCACAAGGAAAGCAAAAGCAATATATCTCTTTTATTTTTATTTTCTTTAAAAAACCTGTTTTCCAGTCTTAACTTCCTCAGAAGGAAGGATGTTTACAGGGAGCTGAAGCAAAAAGGCTAGTAGTTTTGCCTCTAGTGTGTGGTTGGACAAAATTTATGGCTTAGCATAATGGGGCAGGATATACACATTGTTTAAGACATCATTTGCTTAACTACAGCTTGTTAAATAAACCAGTTTGCTGTATTCACACCTTTGCTTGTGTGAAGATAAAATGTTTAAATAAAAATACTCTCTGATCATTGAAATAATTATATAAAAATGAAGTGTTGTGAAATCATCCACCTACAACTTTTTATTGAAATCATTTTGTAACAATGGCTGAATACATGCACTTGTGCTAAGCTGCAAGTTCTTTAATTCTGGTTTATTAAATTATAGTAGCTTGATTCACATACCACACCAAATCATAACTCATGGTTCACAAACCATAACTCATGGTTTACAAACCACAATAGCCTGGACATACACAAAATGCTACAACAAAACCATGCAAAGCACATTATGGGTTAAGGTGATGTAGAAACCCAGCCAGTGCATCCAGTTATTAACATCCAGGTTATTTTTAACCTGAATTTAAAGATCTTTTTTTCTGTTGGTGCCTAGAAAATTACATGGACCTTTCCATGAAGTAAGCAAAAGTCATTTTTGAATTGGTGACTTTTACTTCTTTTTTTTTAACACACCTTAGAGTGAGAGAGATT